TTGCCCAGGCTGGTTTCAAACTTTCTGGGCTCAAGAAATTATTATTATGTTTTTAGTTCAAGAATCAAACATGGCACATAGTAAGTCCCAGGCAAAACTCTAGAGTGAGATTTTTTTGGCATTTGCTTAGTTTTCTTTTCGGTGCTTTTCTCATCCTTCTAACTGCAACTTCCCATTGCTCTACCTACTCTCCCAGGCCTTCTCCCCAAACACATATGCTTCCACCACACCCATTTGTCTCACAGGTCCCGTGCTCAGCTAGTGTCTCTGCCTCAAAGTATCTGAAACTTATTCGTGAACAATTATTAACAAATAAAGGGCTAGTTGGTGGTGACATTTTACTGGAAGGCTCCTGAAGATAAGCAAGACTTAGAGACCCAAAAGAATAAATCTAGGAGGGCTTTCATTAGCAAGACTGCCGGAGTTTGAGTTCCATTTCTGCCATCTACCAATAAGCATCTTATCTACCCCCTCTATGCCTCAGTCTCCTTGCCTGTAAAATGAGATAACAAGAGCACCTCCCTCATAGGGCTGTTGTGAGTTAATATGTGTCAAGAGTCTAGAATCATGGCTAGCACATGGTAGGAGCTCAAGAGACGTCAGTGCTTATGGTTATCATTCTAATGGATGTAAAGAAATACTTCCACATGGGGGTGACTTTGGTAACTTTCTACTCAATCTTTCTGTGATAGATTGAATAGAAAAGGCAACCTGGATGGGCGCATGTTTAAACAAGGAGCTGTTCTTATTCATCTTTGCATGGTGGCTCAGAGTCCACAGCACTTTGGACAGAGCGACCACTCACTACATGTTGCTAAATGACAAAGAAAAAGAAAAGGCACTAATACCTAGATTTCTAAAGTGACGTAGAAAACAATAGGAGAAGATAAGTTGAAATTTCCTATGGCCTTAGGCTACAGTGTACCACTGAGCAAAAAGTGTAATAATATACATTTTCTAAAAGAAATACTACAAAGCACAGGCATACATATCTGCCAGATAATATCTGTATAGCAAGGATGTGCTCAAAAGAGGTGAACTCTCTACTGAAGAGCTGCTTATTTTGCCATTAAGAAAAAAAAAAAAAAGAGTCCTCTGGCAAAATTTTCTTTAGCATCATGAATTTAAACTTGGTATACATTATAAGATCTCTTCTCTGAAAACAAATAAAATTGGCTTATATGAGAGGCAAGTTACTGGTTTGGTAAACAAAGGTGTATCTCTCTTACAGAAAGATTACATTATTTTCTTATTTCATCTGTCTGTATAACAAACAATTTTGCTTTATAAGAGTACCAAAAATCTCCAGTTAATTTAATCCTTTATTTTTTTCATTCGCTATAGAATATTGATTTTGCAACATTGAATACAATCCAATATATTCCATTAAAACAAAACTTTTGCTTTATGAAAGATCAGCAAAAATACATAAACAAGGATATAACTAGTACATTTATAAAATACAACATAACAATGAAACCAAAGGATCCCACATAATAATCTTCATATTCGACATACTGGTTACAGCTGAGGAGAGCTTGCTAAATGCCAGTATCTTTGGCAAGTGATTCATAACAGGTATTGATCGACTTATGACCTATGCAACTTATGACCATTTGACTTTACGACCACAATCGCTAGCCACGACTGCTCCACGTCTGGCAGCACAAACGCCCAGCTGGGCGTACGACAGTGCGGACCAGCTTCTGGCAGCACTACTATCTCCGCGTGTACCATTTCAACTGTACATATAGCCTACTCAACTTACGACCAAATCGTGTTACGACCGGTCTGCCGGTCCCAATCGTGGTCGTAAGTCGAGCACTAGCTGTATGTAAGCAAAAACACTGATCAATATCAACACTTCTGAAATGTTCATTCTTTAACAGTTTAACCTAAAATAAATCAACAAGAGTACTGAAATATATTATGAAATCCAAAATTTGTTGAAAGGGGCAATGTTTAATACTAGGAAGAATACTGAATTTGGGGACTAATTCTCGTCCCCAAGTATATTTGGATTCTTGTCTTTGTTCCTCGATAATCTTGGGCACGTAATCTGTGCTATGAATCCTTCGTTTTTAAAATGAGAGAGTTGGCTGGCTGGTTCTCTAAGGTCTTTCTAGGTTTAACTTTCCATGATTTTAAAATCTTTGACGGGTTCATTTTTGTGTTGTAAAATGAAATCTCTAACAATACTAACTTGGCAGTTGGGTGGAATCCAGTACAGCCCACACACTTCTGCTCAAACAGTTCTTTACTTTCTGAGCCCCACGACAGGCCAATTGTCAAATTAACAATGATGGCAGCCTGCAGGAGGCTAATGGCTGGTTCTCCACCAGGCACAAACGCAAGATAGATAGTTTTTTAAGCTCCTGAAGTCATGGTTATCAAAAGAAAAGCTATAATGGAAGAACTACAGGGAAAACCCACAACATCCTCTTTGGAAAAATGACAAAATAACATGTTTTACCATTCACTGATTCACTAACGGAAGAAGGTAGGTACATATATTAACTATAATACATAATATAATTAATTTTAACTGTTATTTGTGAATATGCACAAAATATATATACAAATTAGAACTCGATCAATAAATATAAATTCAATGTCCAGATGCAAATGGGACGCTCTCTGATGCTGCTAATTTGAACAAGAGGTTTATTGTATTTTCACGTTTCTAATTCTATGGAAAGAAGTTAGGATTCTCTTTACTAATGTTGGCTTCTGCTCCATTACCTGGAAAGTCCACCTCTTTCACATAATCACAAAAATTAAAGATGCCTGAGGTCCCTGTAGGGCATTTAATCCATCTCCTACTCTTATCAGATTACTGTGTTTTTATTCGGAAAGACTGAATGAGTGGGTTTTCATCATCTCTCCATTTGAAAGCAAGTAGACTTTATCTCTCTGGATTCAAGGTCTGTGTTTCTTCCTAGTATTTTAATGTCAATTGCAGTTACACAATTTTGAATATTTAACTCTGATTTGCATTATAGAAATTAGTCCAATTCAAAAAACATGAATGTGCAAAGCAAAATTACTCTGGAAATGTCAGTTTTTTAAAAAATAAACATTGTCCTTTCATTAAAGTACTAAAATGTTTCTCATTTAACAGTAATGACTGCTTAAAGCAACTACATGAGCCTTGGAACATTTTTCATCTCTAACTGGTGTTCCTCTTTCAGAAATATCAAAACTCTCATTTCTCTGTTGTCCACCTTCCTCCTGAGGGGACTCAGGAGCTGTACCACAGAGGGGTCTCTTCTGGCTGAGAATCCCTAATACTGAAGCAGTGGTATCACCAGTTATATGATTTGGTTGTGTTCCCACGGAAATCGCAACTTGAATTGTATCTCCCGGAATTCCCAAGTGTTGTGGGAGGGACCCAGGTGGAGGACATTGAATCATAGGGCAGGTCTTTCCCATGCTATTCTCATGATAGTAAGTCTCACGAGATCTGATGGGTTTATCAGTGGTTTCCACTTTTGCTCATTCTTCATTTTGTCTTGCCACCACCATGTAAGAAGTGCCTTTCACCTCTGCCATGATTCAGAGACCTCCCCAGCCATGTGGAACTGTTAAGTCCAATTAAACCTCTTTTTCTTCCCAGTCTTGGGTATGACTTTATCAGCAGTGTGAAAACAGACTAATACAACCAGCTGTATATTTTATTGCATTTTGCCTGTTTATTACCTATATTACAAAACGATAGATTCATTTTGCCTTCCCAAGTATAAAATTATTTTAATATTGAATATGCTTTTTCAAACTCTACAGCCCCCTTCTCTTCCTCATTCCTTATGAAATTTTCATACACTTCTTAATGGGCAAGAGATCTTTCTCTTGAGAATCACTGAACCAAAACCCAATTTCTGAATTATTATTCAGGATAAAGTCCAATAACCATGTCTGAAGAAACAGTATTCAATTAAAATACAGACATGGTCAACTGAAAAATAGTGCACAGAATAAATATTGCAACAAGGTATTGAATATTTTCTGATTATTAAACCAATTACTTAAACCATATACTTGAAAACTAATGCAGAGATTTGTTTTTAAAATGACCTACTGAAACCATCATGAAATGTATCTTTTACATAGGTTAATTATAGTAATAAGTAATATTGCTTTATATTGTTAAAACAATATTTTCTTCAATTATATGACCTAAAAAATTATAACCTTATTTTCCATTGATTCTCATATTTAAAATCAGAATTTTTAGATTTTTCAAAATAAATTTTTATCAGTTTTGACCTCACTTGCAACTTAGAGTTAAATCTATAAAGTGCTGGATAAACATTTCCTACTGTATAACAAATATTTCTCTGATGCCACAAGATTAAGATTTAATAGGAATATAAAGTAACTATTTTTTTTTTTTTTTTTTTTTTTGAGACGGAGTTTCGCTCATGTTACCCAGGCTGGAGTGCAATGGCGCTATCTCGGCTTACCGCAACCTCCGCCTCCTGGGTTCAGGCAATTCTCCTGCCTCAGCCTCCTGAGTAGCTGGGATTACAGGCACACACCACCATGCCCAGCTAATTTTTTGTATTTTTAGTAGAGACGGGGTTTCACGATGTTGACCAGGATGGTCTCGATCTCTTGACCTCGTGATCCACCCGCCTCGGCCTCCCAAAGTGCTGGGATTACAGGCGTGAGCCACCGCGCCCGGCTAAAGTAACTATTTCTCTAAGTAATGTTGTACTTCAGATCCCTTTATTTTTCCAAATGGTAGAATGAAATTTCTGTATACTCTGAAACTAGAATGATAATATAAATATCAGGCCAGGCGCAGTGGCTCATGCCTGTAATCCTAGAACTTTGGGAGGCCAAGGTGGGTGATCCCTTGAAGCCAGGAGTTCTAGACCAGACTAGGCAATATGGTGAAACTCCATCTCTACTAAAAACACAAAAATTAGCCAGGCATGCTGATGCACACCCTTGTTCCAGCTACTTGAGAGGATGAAGCATAAGGATCACTGAAACCCAGGAAGTCGAGGCTGCAGTGAGCTGAGATGGCACTATTGCGCTCTAGCCTGGGTGACAGAGTGAGACTCTGTCTCAAATTAAGAAAAATACATGTGTATAGAACTTTAAAAACAGTTTTGGAAAAAATATAGGTGTGTATGTCCCAAGTTTAAAAGCGGATCTCCATGCCTAAGTTAAGCAGCCTGAAAAGAGAAAAACAAAAAGGTCAACCCCCAAAACCCTGACTAAGGGCTTCAATAAAATCCATCAACACTGTGGAAGTTTATTCCCATACAAGGCACATACTCCTAACAAGGCACAACAGTCTGAAATTTTACAGTAGTGACACCGGGGAGGGATCCCACTCTCATGGACATCAGTATTCTGCATTGATGTGCTTTGCAATGGTGTTCAACTGGATGTTGGAAGCTCCTTCATATATCGTACCTTAAGCAAAAGGAAGCAGAAGGAACAATGAGGAGCTGGCCCGTGGTTAACACAAGAAATAGCTCTATAAACATCACCTCTGTGCTTGCTATAGTTACTAGTTACATCACTTGATGTCCCCTGAATATGGTACTACTTCACAGAGTGATTTTGACTGAGAGATAACCATTTTCCATTTGGTTTCTAGATGTCCAGGATCAGTATTAAATTGACTAAAGTTTAATCAAAAATTGAAGATTTTGACTCTTCAACAAGTGATGCATAAGCTCAAACTGTTATTTGTGGCAGTTTGCTAAAAAGCCTGTTGAGGCATTTAAAAAGGCAATTTGATATTTTTTAAAAATGTAATCAATCAATCAATTTTTTTTTTGAAGGATGAGATAAGGAAAAAAGCCCAGTCACATAAAGAGACCCAATACACATATACTGAATAAATTAAAATTGCTTTTGCCTAGGCACTAGCAGTATCAAATTGGCAAATAAAATAGCCAAAACACCTACAGAGGCAAATAAAACAAAATAAAATATTAAAAAAAAAATCTACTTACCGATCTTTGCATCTCGGAAGTATTTTTCCACAGGGTAATCTTTGGTGTAGCCGACTCCCCCCATCCACTCGATACATTTACTCGTTACTTGTCCTGCAATCTACCAAAAGCAAGCACAAATCACACACTGAAACCACTTAATGTATACATGATAAATACTTCTGGGGAACATTTTCAGCAACATGGATTCACTGTTAGTGGCGTTGGAAGGACTGAAGTTATTTTATAAACTAGCATTGTCTCTTCCGTCCCATTCTCATACCATTTCTGTAAAACATTCTATTAATTCACAAAATCCCCATCTTCTTAAGAAATTAGATCATGGTTCACATGAATCTGCTTGCTGAGAGATATCATTTATTCAGGAAATGTTTATTGAGAGCCTCCTTTGTATCGAAAACTCTGCCGGCCACTGAGTATACGATACAATGGTGGGGGCGGACAGTCATTGCCCTGTGGGGCCCAGTGGAACCAACCAGCACAGGAACTGATGAACTGCCTGGGGCAAAAGAGCTCGCTAGGAAGCTGAGGTGGTCACAATGGCAGAATCATGGAGGAAATTATGGTGTAGCTGAGACCTAAAGGACAAGCTAGGGGATATTTCAAGCAGAGGACCAACATGTGGAAAGGCTCTAAGGGGAGAATGAACTCTTCAACTTCCAGCCCCTGAGACAGCCAGTGGGCTGGGATAGGGGTAAGGTGTGAAAAGAGAATGGAGGGGCAAGAGATCCTGTAGAATGGCCCCTCAAGGATGTCCACATCCTAGCCCTCAGAGCTGTGAATATGCTGCCTTCCATGGCAATAGGGACTCTGCAGATGTGGGTACGGACGTGAGAGGGGGAGATTACCCTGGATTATCTGGGTGGCTATAATATAATCACAGGAGTCCTTGTAAGGAAAAGGAGAAGGCAAGAGAGTTAGTCATGGAAGGTGATGGGACCACGGAGACAGGAAGCAGAGTCTGAGAGAGATCTGAATGTGCCATATTGATGGCTTTGAAGATAGAGGAAGGGGCTAAGAGTCAAGGAATGTGAGCAGCCCCTAGAAGCTGGAAACAACTGTCCCCCAGAACCGCAGAAAGGCAGTCCCTCCGACGCCTTTGCTGTATTCCAGTGAGACCCAATTCAGATTTCTGCCCTCCAGCAGTGAGAGAAAATGGAATTGCATTGTTTTAGGTCACTGACTTTATGGTAATTTGTTACAGCAGCAATTGGAATCTAATATGGATAGAGTTCCATTTGTTGTGAGAAGCCACCGAAGGGTTTAAAGCTGGAAGGTGACACTTTGAAAAAGGAGAGAGGCTGAATGGGAGGAAGTACCAGGGACCAGAAGGGCAGCGAGGTGACCGCAGCACAGAGCTGGCAATGGGGAGGGAGACAAATACACCATTGAGGAAATCTTTTGGGGGTAGAATTCACAGGAAATGATGCCGGATTCAGTGTGGGGGATGAGGGAAAGCAGGATGTCAAGATGACACTCAGGTTTTGATGGTAAAGCAGAAAAGTTGGACTTGTTAGTCTGGAATTCAGAAAGACGTTGAGGCAGGAGATTTAAATTTACAGGCTGGGGAGGTTAAATGAGAATTTAAAGCCATGGAATGAATATGATTCCACTGAGGTTGGGAAACAGCTGCCCAATGATTTGGCTAAATTCTCTAGCCACAGTCTAATGTGTTAGCTGTAGAAAGCCGACGTCTGAGCAGAAAGTTTTAGAGACATAGACAATCTTTTCTTGGGGTTTTAAATCTGATTTGTTCATATGATGAACCTATCATCTTCCACGGCATTCACTATGTGAGAACTTGAAACCATGGGCATGACACCCATGGTTCTCACAAGACATTGAGATCCCACAGAAATAAACTGTTTTTCTGTAGCAGTTTTGCTTTTCTATTATAAGAAATAAAAGTCCATGCTATCTTAACTTGAAAAACAACCAAAGTACACTTAACATTCCCAGGAGAAAAGGTTAATAATTATATATCTGAAAAAAAGGGAGGCTGAACTACTTTTTCTTTTCTTTTTTTACCTCTGATGCATAGTATTTGGCCATTGATGCTTCTTTTATGAATGGCCTTCCAGCTTCTACAAGCCTAGCAGCGTTGTATGTTAGTAATCTTGCAGCTTCCAGCTGGGTGGCCATGTGAGCCACTTGGTGTTGGAGGCCCTGTAACAGTAAGGCCCAAGTTAGAGAATTATGATTTCAAAAAAGCACCTCAACCGCAAAGTCCTGCCTAGATACACAACACTCGACAGATTCCAAACATACCCTAAAGGAAATTCACATTCACGTCTCTTAAATACTTTAAAATTTGTAATCTAAAATGAAATGTGACACTGTAAGTATGGTTAAATCCTCTTTTCCTAGAAAAACTTCAAAGTTCACATCATTCTTCATGATTGTCAAGACTTACACAGTAAATATCACAAAGTTAGGTTTAAAAACTCGACTGTTATATTTAATAATGATTTCAACTCTTTTTTGACGAAAATTTGGCTTAAATGAAATCCTAGCACAGCAAAACTTCGAATATATTCTTTATTTGCTTGAATTAAGAAAATTTTCATTTTGTATATGACTTCCAGGCATTAAAAGATGTTAGCTACAAAGCAATGAAAAATATTTGAAGCACCAATTACTACCACCCTGAAATTTTAGAGGGTGATTAGGTCCATACTAAATGTTTGTCAATGAAAGAAACAACGGTTAACTTAGTGAGCCAGAATACAAACATTAACATTTATAAATAATTTCCTGGAAATAACAGGCACAGATAAACATCTGAAATGTTACAAACTGAAATGTTTCTCATGCCCAATCTATCCATCCACCCAGATAGTTACTGGGCACCTCTGAGATTGCCCTGAGCGACGGAGGCAGCACCTGAACATTACAGCCAGATTTCCTTATTCTCATGATTTATAATATATAGTCCAGCAGGGAGAACAGACAAATTAAATAATTATAATAATATGTGATGAATATTACGACAGTGAACCTTGATTAAAGCAATCACACACAAATCCCAGGAATGGCCTTTCCTAAACAAAAGGGAGGGACAAGTTGGACAAAAACAGCACTGTTTGTTAATACCCTACAGATTCTTCTCTTTCTCTTTCTGAAATAGGTGATACACACAACAATTTTGTATGTACAAAAAAAGACGATGCTCCATCTCTGTAGGCTATGAAGCATAATAGTAAGTTGGACACCCATAAAACTATGTGCAGAGTTAATATCTTCTCCTCTGTGATTTATCTTTCACTTTATGGCATCTTTCAAGGTAAAAAACTTACCAATCTTATCTTTAGGACTAGTCCTTTTTGTGTCTGTTTACAAGAACCTTTCCTACCATGAGGTTATAAAGATATTCTCTGTTTTGTCCTAAAATCTTTAAAGTTTTGCTTTTAACATTATGTCTTTACATCTGACATCTATTTTCTGTGTATGATGTGAGGTAGGAATACGGTTTCATTATTTTTTCGTATAGAAAGAATATTCCCACTCAGTGATCTGTAATGCCATCTCTATCATCCATCAAATCTGCATACATGCATGGGTCTATTACTAGCTTTTCTGTTTTGTTCCATCAGTGAATTTGTCTGTTTCTATACCAGTATCACGGTTCTAGAAATTTGACTCTTTATGTGGAACTCAGAATTCTGATTATTTTTGCAAAATACACTCAGTTCAATGAAACTTACAGTCACTATCCATGCTGTCTGTTCCATTTGCCACCTTAAGTACTGTGAGAGGCAGGAAAGTGACTGAGGCATGCCTACTGTTCTACAAGAACTCACCACTGCTGAATACTTGTTCCCTAACTACATGGTGAACACAAGGCCTGGCATAGAGGACATGCTAAATAAATCTATACTAAATAAACAATTGAAACTAATAAGGATGAATCGGCTGGTCTTTACCCTCAAGGGCCATGTGGTCTCGAGGTCAGAAAGATATGAACAAATGCATGCAAAGCAAACACGAGATAATATAGTTAGAAAAAAACTCTGCTAACTTTAATCAAAGCATTATACAGCTAATAATGTTGATTTTTAAGATCAAAATTTCTTCTTCTTGATATGCTTATTTCACATAGCATGTCTCTATCAGAACATCTCATGTACCCCATAAATTTCTGTGGTTCCCTGTGTACTCACAAAATTTAAAAAATAAAAATAAAAAAAAATCTAAGTGTTCTTTTAACTACCCATAATAGGCATCTCTAAAGATGTCATTATGATTATGCCTGCTAGTATACCTGACCCCTTCAATCTATCTATACGCACGAGAACATAGTTTCCTGTACATAAAGAAGATCAAAAGCCTCCCTTCAAAACAACCTTTACATTCTGTCTCTTTCACTGCAATCTTTGTGGTAGCTGGCTCTGAGAAATTACTCTAGTATAATGAAAATTCGACTAGAAGCCAAAACAAAAAACCCCTCTACTTTTGGCACCATATTAGCTGCACAACCTTGGGAACTCAGTCTCCATGTGTTTCAGGTTCCTAGGCATAGGTGAGGATGACAGCGTGAGCTACAGCAGGCACCGGCCAGGCCTGCCATACTCAGTTCTCTTTCTTGAACTGACTGTGCATGTCCACAGCCTAGTATCTGTATACGTGTGCAATCTGAGTGTGCTCATAGGATGCCTAGTCATTATTATAAACCTGAAGACAACGCAGCAAAACAGAGATGGATTGCACTTGGAGCCTGGAGCTGCTTAAGGGGAGGTTTTGCAATCATGTAAAGTAATTATTCTGGAATTTTATGTGACCTGCCTTCAGCTTGCCTAAAAGGTTTGGTAAGCTGCCACTCCGGGCTGCCCTCACACTGGCAAGACCTCAACAAGGGCAAGAAGGATAATGTTGCCACCAAGCAATCTCCAGATTGCCTGGGGAGCTCTGAAAAGCTGTGGCACTGGACCAAACCAGTATTACCCAAGTGCTTGGCCAAGTGCACCTCATTTCTATTTAATGCAGCAAACTGTATCTTCCGTGAGACATAGGTGTCAAAAGTGCAGTCCTATGAGGATTACCACATGGTTCTGGTCCAAACAGAAGTTAATGGTAGCAAGTGTTACCATCTACTGAGCACCTGTTATACCCATGCAATGTGTGAAACACTTTACACATACCTAATTTAAAACAGGTTAAGTAAGTAGTTATATCTTTATTTTATAGATGAGGCAGCTTAAGGGTAGAATGAGGTCACTTGCCTAAGGCCTAAAGCTAGTAAGTGAAAGAACCAGGATCTGAATCCAGGAAGTCTGACTCCAGACCCCCTACCCTGAGCTTCTGAAGCAGTGAGGAGCTCCATAGTGCTCACCAAGATATCCTGAATCACACTACAGCTGGGCCTCAAGGGCTACTGCTCTGCCCTTGGAAAAGATCAAGGTATTCACAAGTACACTCCCTGAGACTAATTCCTTCCTCCTTTACCCCTCTCCCATTAAAATCCCACTGATGGGAGTCCCTCCATGGCTTTCAACACAGCCCTTCATTAACAGGAAGCTGGAGTCCAGTGCAGCAGAAAGACCCTAATAATTATATACCTGAAAATCAAATAGTCTTTTGCCAAATTGTATCCTTTCTTTAATATATGGAATAGTGTAGTCAAAACATCCTTGTGCTAGTCCCAGCATCTGTTAAAAAAAAAAAAATCAGAATTTCTTATTTTGTTACAAGTTTAATGATCCAAGTTGTAAATTCCCTCTAAACATAAATTGAATGGTCGGGGTAGGGGAAGAACTAGAGATCCTGAGGTGGTAAGGTGTGTGTTAATAACACATCTTCACCTACTGCATTTGTAGAACTGAACTTCCAATAATTGGGAGAAAGTTTGGAGTGACTTCATATGAATATGAGTATACTTCATTCTAGCAGAAGTAAGTCTCCCAGCAAGGCTGTGTTCGCAAAACCAGACTACTTTTTAGGAATCTTCTTTAAGCTCTGATTCTCCAGGTATAAAATGAGCCATAGACGTTTTGCTCAGAACTGGCCTTGAAGACTATAGAGGAACTCCCTCCAGTTCTAGAAGTAAAATGTGGAAGGTCACTTCTTAACCTTCTACTTTCCTGTCTATTTTGTATATGAGTACGATTAATAAGCGCTTCAGTGGAAAGGGCATTAGAACATAAGAGATCAGTGTTTCTTAACCCTAGCTGCACCATAGAATCATTTGGTGAACCTGATTAAAAAAAATACTGATACCTAGGCCTAATGACTGAATCCAAATCTTGTGAGTACAGTGGGTGGAGGAGTGTGAGCTAAACCTCAACTTTGTAAAACTCCTTAGGTAACTTAATACACAGCTGGGGTTGACAACAATGGATAGAAAGCATCCAGTAAAAATGCTAATTTACACCCTTCAATTTCCACAGGACATGGTGACAATTTTAGATGAACCATCTCATTGCCAACCAACCTTCATATCTATTATGATTGAAGCTTAGAAATTGTTTCTATATTTCAACATTAGATAGTCATTAAATCACTGTCTAATTATGTCAAATTCTGGTTTTAGACAATCATAGCTAAAGCTTTTGGGGGAAATGCCCAGCAAACTTATCAATATTTCATTAGTATTTATTTACCTCTTCTTTTAGTCTTTTATTTTGAACTCTTTTGAGAACAGAATAATATGTTAAAAATTAAAGGCACAAGAAAACCACAAACCCCAAATTCAAATGAGGCATCACTGCACTCTCGGCTGTAAGATAAGATGATGTCACTATACCCTTACAGCTAAAATTTGTACGTGAATAATACCCTATATCAACATGAAGGCTGAAATGATCAGTTGTCCATCAAAATGGGCTTTTCTACCTCAGCAGAAGGTATCCATTACAAACAGTGAAAAACTGAATTCTCTCTGCCCACAAGGTTTTGAGGACAGATGCCTTCAGTTCACTATGTTACACGCCACGTGCCTGTTCCTCTCAAAGCATCCACTGAGAGAGTAACTACCTGACCTTAACTTTTAATTAGGTTATTAGATAAGTTGGAATAATTAGACTGAGGCCCAGTCCGTGTATTTTATTGCCAGAACATCTATATTATCTATATGTCTGAAAAAAATGAGATCTAGTATTGTAGTTTTTAATGCCATATCTAACTAAGTTAAATCACAGAAAAACTTTTAAAAGAACTTATAAAACAACACTCTTTAGTGACATAATGTCTACCATTGTAGGAAAACCAGACTAAGTTTTGATCCAAGAATAGTTAGCAATGTAACCAGCAGAAAAAAATTTAGAGTAATCATCTATTATTTATTGCAATAGCTAATATATATTTAACATCTTCAAAATTGAAAAGCTGTAAGTTCTTGAGTTTTGTATAATCACTGATTAAAAATATACTCTACAAAAATGATATCATCTATAGTAAAGCCAAAGGCCTTATTCATTTTGTTAATCTGGAAAATAACTGATATCACGTAATGGAAAAATGCAATATGCATTATAAAAGGCAAATTTGGTTAAAAAATTTGAATAGTTCTCCTTTTATATCCCTACTTAATTGTGGCTATTTCATTTCATGTACCACAAAAAATATTGTCCAGTTTTCACAGGCAAAACACTAAGCAACAAATCTTTTATTAACTATAGATAAGAGATCCTTACTACAAAGTGGAATGAATATTATTTATTCTTAACGTAAAAAATCCCTTCCAGAATGAATTTCATGATTTGGAAAGTTGATTTTTAAAAAAATGCCATATTTAATTTATAATACATTTTTAAAGTTATTGGTTCAGATATGAGATACTACTTTAATGTTCTCAAAGCAGAAACACTGTTACCACCAAGCCATTGTTTGATTCTCTGGACACTTACATAATTGACCAAAAGGGAATTTGAAAGAAATAATCAGAAGCCATCCTGTCCCTCATCTAAGGGAATGGTGCCATCTTGTGTCCACAAGCTTCCTAATATTCACTGGGCTCATTGCATTTTTTTTCTTTTCACATTTTAATTGATTCACATCATGGAAGAGTTTAAATTTGACTTACCTGTGCAGCAATTCCTATCCTACCTTCATTAAGACCCCCTGCGGCATACTTATAGCCATGTCCAATTTGTCCCAAGACACTGGTTTCTGGAACCTGAAAATACAAATGTGCGCTTATTTCTCAATTTCATTTTACATGATTCATTTTGATTATATATTTTTAAGTGTGTATAGACTCTCAATTCATGTGCTAGCCCTCTCACAGTACTTGCTGGCATATGTGTCTCTCTCCATTCTGTTTTTTCCCTCAACTCTCTGAGGAAAAGGACTCAAGTCCATGCTGTTCATGATTGCATTCTCCAGAGCCCTGCATAGGTTATTGAATGGGTGAGTGAATCTACAGTAAGGGAATCTCATAGAATTCATCAATAACATAAATTAATACTTTTCCCTCCAATTCTTATCTGTAGGCTACAGTGTGAGATAACATATTAGGGACTACAAAAATATGCAAATACTTGCAAAAACAAGTGTAGTAAGCCTTTTGGCTGCTGAGACCATTCATCCTTATAAAAATCAACTGTGGGGTATATATGTGTGTATATGTGTGTACACATGTGTATGCTCCAGAAAGAGAAAGAGGAAGACAGAAGAAACAAACTAAAACACTTATTCGTAGTTTTAAAAAATTAAGAATTAGGAATAATAAAAAACTATCCTTAGTTTTATAATATTGGAAGTTTGGGGAGAGAGTAGGGAGAGTGAAGAAAGGAAAGGGAACGTAGGGATGAGGAAACAGCTGGGGTGAGGTAGTGAGGCCCAAACGACATCTGTAAAGACATCCTCCCCCTTGCTCCCCATAGTCGTGCAAAAAAAGATCAAGGTCTGTGACACGCGACGGAAAACCGACCACCATCTGCCCCACCTACGGAGAGTTCTAAAGCACCAGCACTAGCATCCGTGATCTTCTGCCAGTCACATTTAACAGCCTGGCTGTTTCTGCTCACTGAGCAACACCCCCATCTTGTGGCCTTTGGTGCACTGACACCAGACTTCCTCCTCTGCAACCCTGTTTGGTTCACAAGTCTCAAACTTATTAAGTATACATGGTCAGAAGTACCTAAGTTATAAAACATAAATGGGACAAATTCTTGACACTTGCTCCCCAGGACAGCTTCTGGACAGAAAGGTTTCCGTTTTTGTGAGAAGTACATTTATTTGATCACGACTAAAGAGCACTGTTCAGGGTTTTACAAAATACTCTCCCATGTGTGCTTATGGCCACTTAATATATGACACCTGTCTTGCACACCTCCTGTAGTTCCATGCAAGGCTTATTTCACATCAGTCTTTTACTGATTGGTCTAAGATACCCACCTTGACATTTTCAAATGTTAATGGACAGGTGGAAGAAGCTCTGAGCCCCAATTTGTTTTCGGGTTTTCCTATACGAAGGCCTGGAGTATCACGATCTACTAAGAAGCAGGTAATTCCCTTATATCCCTAAAAAGAAGATTTAAAATGCTATTACCACTTGGATTTATAAAACGCCTTGTTTCTAAAGAGTTCAAGTAAAAAGAAAACTAAAAATGGACTTTAATAATAACTACTAACAGACTCAGAATTGCAACATGGGCATTATGAAATGAGAGTAATTAGAGGACACTAGATCCAAACTATAGAACCTTACCATTTCTTTCACTTTTTCAGAAACCATTATAAATATTAAAATTATTATTACACAATTATATGATCAAGAGAATGCCATGTTCTTAATTTAATTTTACTATATAAAGTTTTAAGCCAGGTGTGGTGGCTCATGCCTATAATCCCAGCACTTTGGGAGGTCAAGGCAGGTGGATTACCTGAGGTCAGGGGTTCAAGACCAGCCTGGCCAACATGGTGAATTGCCATCTCTACTAAAAATACAAAAATTAGCTGGGTGTGGTGGCAGGCACCTGTAATCCCAGCTACTTGGGAGACTGAGGCAGGAGAATCGCTTGAACCCAGGAGGCGGAGTTTGCAGTGAGCTGAGATCACGCCACTGCACTCCTGGGCAACTAGAGTGAAACTCCATCTTGGAAAAAAAAAAAGTTTTAGCAATTTAATTCAATTGTTACATTAGTGAAAATACTGCATTTACTGGTAAAAAAATATATATATATTTATTATTTTGCTATATGTCTATTTTCCAAATGAAATGTCCATTTTCCAACTAAGAATAAAATATTCTTAAAAATAAATGTACTAAATAGATACTTAAATTCTTCATTACTAAACAGAAAATTGGAAATTCAAAAAAATTAAAGATTAGGGCCAAGTGCAGTGGTTCACGCCTATGATCCTAGCACCTTGGGAGGTTGAGGTGGGCAGATCACCTAACATCTGGAGTTCAAGACCAGCCTGGCAAACGTGGTGAAACCCTGTCTCTACAAAAATTAGCTGGGCATGGTGGTGCACACCTATAGTCTCAGCTACTTGGGAGGTTGAGGCAGGAGAATTGCTTGAACTCAGGAGGTGGAGGTTGCAGTGAGGTGAGATCGCACCACTGCACTCCGGCCTGGGAGATAGAGCGAGACTCCATAGCAAAAAAAAAAAAAAAAAAAAAAAAAAAAAAAAAAAAGATTATTTTTCTATATAATACATTAGGAGATAAGTAATAATTGGTTCTCCACAAACAGTTATACCTCCATCTCTGTGGGGGAGTAGTTCCAGGACCCAAACCCCAACCATGGATACCAAAATCTGACAGTGCTCAAGTACCTTACATAAAATGATGTAATATTTGCATATAACCTATACATCTGCTCCTGTAGATGCTCAGTCATCTCTAGATTATTTGATACCTAATATAATGCATACACATCACTTTATTCAGGTGGATTCAACATGGTACTGGGCACAAAGCAAATTCAAATTTTACTTTTTGGAACTTTGTAGAATTTTTTTTTTTCAACCAAATATTTTCAATCTGGAGTTGGTTGAATCCATGTACCCATGATTTGGTGGGCCAACTCTAATAATTGTGTTAACAATATTTATTTTAGGAGATTAATACTTAAAGTGAAAAAAATGCCACCTCATATCTGACATTTTCAGTACTGAGAAGAGTAGAGAATTTAAGATGAAGTCCTAAAAAGGAAATAGAAGGAGGAAAAGATAAGGAAAAAGAAAAGAAGTAGGGAAAAAGAAAGAAATTTCATTCTCAAACTTACAATGGTAGGGTCTACATTCGCCATCACCAGAAAGAGCCCTGCATACTCAGCACTGCTGATCCACAACTTTGACCCATTGAGGACATAATAATTGCCCTTTTTATCAGCTCTGGTCTTCAAAGCAAATGAGTCACTACCTGCTCCAGCCTCCGAAAGGCAGAAACTTCCTATCTACATATGGGAGAAAAAAACGTCCAGATTAATAACAGTATTCATACTCTGCATAACAAATACTTATGGCAAAATGGACATTTATAAATCAAATCTCTAGCTGCTTTTTAAAAAAGGCTATGTTTATGAAAATAGTAATAGTTTTGAAAATATTATTTTCCAAAAATATGAGCACATACTAATTAAAATTGATCTTAATTATTATTGTAGAAAGATATCACAATGTAAATGAAACCATCAACAAAGGTATTAGCAAATATAATTGGGACAAAAAGAAACAATTTTATTATCTGATGATTATTTTCTAAATTTCCAAGTGGCAAATAAGAGGCAGAGTGTACTTTTTCAGTAGCATTAATTTACTGAGTGTTGCTTGAATTAATGATAATGTGTTGTAGTCTTAGATAGTAAAGTCAACATTGCAGCTACTTTTTTCCTGAAAATATTGTAAAATTACTAAAGATTAGATCCATTAGATCAACAATTCATCTCAACTCACTTTTTCTGTAGTGAGCTGAGGCAAATAGGTGGCCTTTTGTTCTTCTGTTCCAAATTTTATAATCAGTGCGTTAATTAGTGTGTTCTGGATCTCACAAAGGACAGCCACAGATGCATCCACTTTGGCTAACTCCTCTATCACGAGCACAGTGGAAAAAAATGAAGCTCCTGTACCTCCATATTTCGGGTCAACGTCAATACCCATCAACTAAAGAAAAAACAAGGCAACACAGATTAAGAAACCTATTTTTATACAGGGAAATTTCTTGAAAGAACAAGTTAAAAAATAAAATGCAACCATATTGATTCTTTTTTTTTTTTGAGACAGAGTCTTGCTCCATTTCCTAGGCTGGAGTGCAATGGCACGATCTCAGCTCACTGCAACCTCTGCCTCCTGGGTTCAAGCAATTCTCCTGCCTCAGCCTCCCAAGCACCTGGGATTACAGGAACCCACCACCATGCCTGGCTAATTATTTTGTTTGTTTTTTTGTATTTTTAGTAGAAACAGGTTTCACTTTGTTGCCCAGCCTGGTCTCAAACCCCTGACATCAGGTGATCCACCCACCTCGGCCTCCCAAAGTGCTGGGATTACAGGTGTGAGCCACCGTGCCCAGCTACCATATTTATTCTTCATTTTAAAAGTTTGTATGTATCCTTTATTTTAATTTGGTATGGCAATTTTGCCATCAGTAACAAAAAAATCTGTATCAGAAGCTATATATTTGAAAAGCATGAAGTTACATGCTATCATTTGCTTCCTTTTGGGATTCAAAAAACCCTTTGAAGGGTAGCTGAATGGAAAGAGAAAATATCTTATATAAATAGATGACCTTTCTTGCTAAGAACTGTTGTTGCCTGCTTAAAGAAGGTAGGTGGGGTTTTGGTTTTTCAACATGCCCTACACACATTATGCTGATTTCAATGTAATAAGGAAACAAGAAAATAACCTACTCCTCAACAGTAATGTCTACAGTTTATTTGGCAAAATTTCTTCTAGTCAGGCTCCTTCACCTTGACTTTTTCAACCAAGTTAATAATTGAATGACTATTCCTTTTAAGCCACAGTCACAAGTTCAGGATGGTTAGCAGAGAATGTGCAGTGGTGTTTGCTAGAGCCACACTAGCCAAGGCATCAGTGCCTGGCAAACATGACCAGTGCCAGCCAAGCCTTTCCAACAACCTCATTCTGTCACTACTGAAACTCAGATAGTACTCTCAATTTCACAAAGGGCATGTGTGCATGTGTAATTCAAAACCCACAGCTGTTAGTAGAAGGATAATGCTCTTAGTCTCTCTCAAGACATTCCTGGAGTCACACTATGCTCCACTTAGGGTTGTGGCTGTTACATTTTGGGTTACAACAGGAAAACAGAACAGAAATGGGGGTGACTGGTGAAAAAGGCCAGAAACAAGGATGATCCGAAGGATCTGGGTTTGCCTGAGGACCGAGGAGGGCACACAGGCTACCTCATTACAAGGTGTTTAACAGATGTCAGAGACATTGCTTCTCTAAAAAAAAGTCACTAATCTCTCCCAAAGTGGGAATGCTGTTTTTGCAAGCCATTATGACTGAAGAGCCAGGGCAATGGGAGCGCGGAGGCAGGTGATGCTGCCTCTGCGTGGGAGTGGTCTGTGGAGATGAGTAGCAGGGTGCAGGCAAGGCATCGCTCTGCAGACAGCCCCTCTGCAGGAACAAGTGCTGCAGGGGAGATCTCACACGTGAAACTGACACTGCTCCCAGAAGCCTGGAGAGTCTGCAAGCAATAAAAATAAAACCCAGCTGAGGAATGGACTCACAGAATCCATCTGTTCTCCACATTGGCAGCCTGTTTGACCACCACAGCTCCACATAAGATTCCATTTTCCCAAGAGTGACTGCTAAAAGAAAGATGGAAGAATCGCTACTCCACACAGTATTTAAAAAGCTGGTTGCTTTAAAACAGAAAGAAATAAAACTATCTAGCTAAGTGGCAATGGTTATTTTTCAAACGGGATGGCAGACAAAATTTAGGTCAATGGCTCTGAATAGCAGCCACTTGTTCTGGGACATCTTTAGTATTAAAAGTAAAAAAATAAATATTTCATACCTCTGGAGAAGTGAGAAATGATGAGTGCGGTGATTTTTAAAATGTTCTTCTAGAAGCCTCTATGCTAATAGACTCTCCCCCTACTCACAGTGAGAGCAGTTTTACTTGTATCTATTTCATATGGTGTACTTCCATTAAAGAGCTCTGTGACTTGGAAAGATGGGAATCTGTTGCCTGGTTAATGTGGAATTCATGCATCACCTCTACTTCTAAGGTCATCACTTATATAGGGATTCAAGTAGAATATAAACTACACTATGAAGTTTTACTATCTAAAGTAGGGTTTCTTCACAGTGGCATTGGGTTGGATAATTCTTTGTTGTAGCACTTGTCCTGTGCACTGTGGGACGTTAAGCAGCATCCCGTGTCTCTATCCTACTTGATGCCAGTAGCATGCCTCAGCTGTGGCAGCCAAACACGTCTCTAGACAATGCCCAATGTCCCCTGGAGGGCAAAACTGCCCCCACTTGAGAACCACTGGTCTAAAGATATAAATAAGTCATCATCTTACTTCCAAACCTTTCCTTAACATGCACAGTATTTCTAATTTAAAATGTTAATTCCATTTTTAAAAACTTTTAAGTACATAAACATTAAGGAGGGTTTCAATCTAAAAAAGAACACAGATAATTTTGACTGGGAAATGAAGGGTTCATTATGCTATCATTACCGTCCCTCAATTTTAAAATATGCATATATTTTAACACTAAGATGTTTTTATAAAAGCTTGAAAAGGGGAGAATTATGAAATATACCCCTTGTTGAAATAATCCTTGTATTACTGATTTCTCCATTTTTGAATTTTCATCCATGGTTGAAACCAAAGGTGCAAGTTGTTCTTGAGCAAATTTATTAACTGCAGGAAAAAAGAATTACGGATAAGTCTGTGTTCAAGTGACAGCCACATTAATAAAGATGACAACAGCTCCCGGTTTGCTGACAACATTTTACATTTTAACTAGTAAGTTAAAATATACACAGGTACCCTTCTTATACTTTCAAAATAGAATTTATGAAGTCTTCTTTTTAACATAGAAAGGTGTAGTTCCCCATATCCCTTTGTAACTCTTGATGACATTACAAAGTAAATGATGTACGTAGATGGTGCAAAAACACAAACAGTAAAGAAAGCGCAAAATGAAAAATGAAAGCCATGCTCTGCTCTACCCAAAGGTAACTAATTTTAAATTTATTATGCATTCCTTCTGAAAACTTTTCTTTGAAAATCATCTATACTTACCTGTACACACACACTCATTTACACAAAGGAATCATAAGATACATATTCGTGTGTGCCTTGTTTCCCCCATCTATATCTTGATGATCTTTCTATGTCAGCATATCCCATCTAACCTGGTCCTTTTAGTAACTGCGTGGTCATATGGAACAGGGTTTCTCCTGGCACTGTTGCCATTTTGGAGCCGGTGGGTCTTTGTTGTGGGGCCATCCTGTGCACCACAGGATGTTGGGCAGCATCCCTGGCTGCTACCCCACTAGCTGCCAGGAGCATCTCCTACTTCTAAGTTGTGGCAATCAAAAATGTCTCTAAATATTGCTAAATGTCCCCTGGTGGCAAACTTGCCCCAGTCGAAAACCACTGTTTCATTTTTCAATGTTTTAAGACTTAGATGCATCTAGAATTCATTTTGATGAAAACACCTTCTTAAGTTTACTACCAACATAATACTAAGTTGCTAGAGAAGGCAACCGGGCTAAACTGACAGTTCAGTGCAGGCCGGCTCGCTTGCTTCGTTTCTGCACAAGTGACTCCCTCTGTGTAGAATCTCTTCCTTCCCCTTGCCCAGCTGGCCAACTGTACTTTGTCCTTTATGGGACAGTTCAAGCTCCACACTCTCTGGGAAGCCTTTCCTGACTGCTTCCTTAGCCCACTTCTGCCATGCCTAGCAAATTGTAGGTGCCCTCTGCTTTGCTCCCCAAACACCTCCATGACATGTACTGTGTTATTCTGAAACTATTTCCTTTATTTGACCGTCTTTGCCACTAGACTCTAAGTTCCTTAAAAGCAGTGATAGTTTTCTTGACCATCTTTGTTGCTTCTGTGCTCAGGCTAGGTGGTTACTAAATAAATAAATACAAGTGACTAAAGACAGAGAACAAGATACTCTAAGCAAATTCTTTGATTTATGTAAACTATTTGACCACTCATCCTGTTTTTCCTTACACATCCCAAACTCACTTCCCTAAGACCATACCTAAAAGGTGAGGGAGCAAAGGAAAAGAAATGTACTAGCCGGGTGCGGTGGCTCACGCCTATAATACCGGCACTTTGGGAGGCCTAGGTTGGTGGATCACCTGAGATCAGAAGTTCGAGACCAGCCTGGCAAACATGGTGAAATCCCATCTCTACTAAAAATATCAAATTAGCCAAGCATGGTGGCGTGCGTCTGTAATCCCAGCTACTTGGGAGGCTGAGGCAGGAGAATCGCTTGAACCATGGAGGTGGAGGTTGCAGGGAGCCAAGATCCTGCCACTGCACTCCAGCCTGGCAAAAAGAGCAAAACTCCATCTCAAAGAAAGAAAAAAAAGAAAGAGAAAAGAAACTTACTTATTATGACAGACATAATTCTAAGACAGCACCAAGATTCCCAGCCGCTGGTGTACATATGTACTCTTCTCAGTTATTCGGTCAAACATGAATCTAAGTGCTGCTGTGAAGGGATTTTACAGGTACAATTAGGCTCCCAAATCAGCCGACCTTAAAACAGGGACATGACAGTTTGTGGGTATGACCTAATCTATTGAGCCCTTAAAAAAAGATGGGGCTCTTTCTGGTGAAACAGGTTTTAGGAATGAGAGAGATTTGATGCTGGGAGGGAGAGCTATTGGTTTTGAAGATGGAGGGAGCCACAAGGCAAGGAATACAGAGGCCTCCAGGAATTGGGGACAACCTCTGGCAGACAGCCAGCTGGGAAAAAGGACCTCAGGCTTGCAATTGCGAGGAACTGCATACTGACACAACCATGGGAGCGTGGAAGGACCCTAAGCTCTGGATGAAAACTCAGCCCAACTGACACACTGATGTTGGCCTTCTGAGACCCTGAGCCTGGACTTGCTCCAGCTGGACTTCTGACTTACAGAACTGTGAGCCACTACACAGGTGTTGTTTTAACCTATTAAGTTTGTAATGATGCAATACCCAGCAATAGAAAACAAATACACCTATCATCCATATTCTCCAAGAACAATATTCTGATGTTCTACAGATTTTAAAATGTGTCATAATTTTACACCTACATCTATTCCTATAAATAAATGAGTGCAAACTGCTTTAAGGTTTAGTGGCATATAACTTCTGCTTCTTCATTCAGGCTCCCTGTTTCAACCACAGGCATAGATAAAGGTAAAATTTAAATTCCACAGAAAGTATGAAAACCCACTGTCTAAAGAAAAGTGGAATAGATATGTACTTCTAACTCTGCAAGGCTATATAAGAAACTGGTAACAAGGTGGCAAGAACTGGGGAACTAGAGAACAGGGTGGGAGAGTCTTCATCTTTAACCACAAAGGCTTTTATTCTGTTGCTTTAATCTTGGATATGCATTGCTTTTCTTCAAAAAGAATTTATATCAAAAAAACTACATTCACAAATTTAGATGAACATATCTTTCAAACAAGTCGTATGTGACTTCATATTGTAGATCCAATTCATGATCAGAGGAATAATAAGGTGACGTTTTTCCAGCTATTCAGGAGGCTGAAGCAGGAGGATAGCTTGAGCCCAGAGGTGAGGCTGCAGTGAGCCATGATTGTGCCACTATGCGCCAGGCTAGCTGACAGAGTGAGACCCTGTCTGGGGAAAAAAGGTGACGCTGATAAATTTACTTACCCGAACTCTTTATCATCATTTCCTCATCTGTAAATGTTTGCAGTGGAACAAAGGGCACTCCATTATTTGTTATATTGAGTAGAGGTTCTGGCCCAGAAGATTTTGGGACATGAGGAGGAATCTTCCAAGAAGACAAGCAAGTTGGGAAATTTCTTCTTAGCTGTAGGAACAGCCCCATTAATAGGTGGAACATATACACACACCAAAGACAGGTACTTGAACGTCATTTTCTTTGAGAATAACTTTATAATGTTATTTTGAGAATAGCTTTATAACCCATTCTTATATTTCATGTCACCAAAATAAGGAAACTTAACCTAGTGCATTTTAAAATTCTGTCTTTTAAACATAACACAAACTAGCTTGTTAATATGATGTAACACCTTCTTTATCCAGCAATGAGCTGCTTTAAATAAATGAATTTCCCAGATAATCAACTTTTACCAATCAAGGAGACAGAACCTTCTCAACAGAATTCATCCTCCAATGTATTTCACATTTCACTGACATTTTACATAGGGAAACTGGAACTGTAACACCACTGATGTCTAAGACTGACCACTGTCAAGACCATTCTCTTGTGAGGGTACAGAGCTACTTGCCCTGCCCTGAGTGGGCCCAGGCAGCTGGGCTTTTGTAATTTCCAAGGCTAATTTTTTTTTCAGCATCTTGCAGGCAGCATAAAGGTTAAGAAAGTAGGCTCTGAAGTCTGAAAGAATTAGTTTCAAATCCTAGCTTCTGATATTTAAATTACGTATCTTGGGCAAGTGATTTTTAACCTCTTAGTTAAAGCCTCCCAGAGTCTTAGTTTCCTTACCTGTAAAATGCAGGTACCAACCTCTTGGAGTTTTGTGAGGATTAGTAAGACCATCCATAGAAGGGCTTAGCATATAGTAAGAGCTCAATACACTGTAATGACTATTTCTACCACAGCTGCTCAGAACACAGAAGTGGAGGTGGTCATCATAGAAAAAGCAGTAGTAACGATCTAGTTAAACTGCAAGCCATCATTGATTGCCATGAATGTGCCTTCCTGCTGCAGTGTCTCAAATCCTTTATTAAATGCAGTAACATACTGAAATATGTTTTCTCAGTAATTTTGATTACACACTGAAAAGCCAAGAAAAGGAGAAACTGTGAACAAGGGTCACTATGTTTGAAACCACTGTCAACCTTTGCTGCATATTGGCCGATCTTTGCAACTATGTGCCTGGGAGCAGATATACTCTGCTCTGGATTCACCTGGAAAGATGAAACATTGGCCAGTCAGAATAAAAGTGGTATGTGTCTCAATTTTCCTAGCTAATTGTTTTGTTTTCAGAAGTAGGAGTTGGTTTAGGGCAAAGTTGCATGTAACATTTTTTCTCATTAAAGACAGAGTTGGGACAGGGAAACTTTGGGCTAGAAAGGAGGAGAAAGAGGACATAAGGTATTTTCTTCTTGATGAGATGGACAGGAAGAACTAAAAAGAAGGGTAAAGGAGAAGTGAGGTAAGAATCGAAGTACAAAGGGGCTCAAGAAGGGGAGGAACACTGCTAGCAGCAGCAGGAGAGAATGGTCAGTGGCAGCTGGCACAAAGAAAGAAGGAAACGGAGAAAGAATGGAAATTGGAGAAGGAAGAGAGGTAAGCATGGGGACCAAGTCTGCTCATTGACTGGTGGTGGAGCCTTGAATGGGGTTCTGGATATATATTTGAATGAATGAAAGAATGAGCCAATTAGTCTTCTCCACAAAATGCTCATGAAACTTACCTATTACATTTCAAAAGCTATAATACATTGCCCACATTTCTCATTTCTAAGGGAGATTATTTACTTCACAAAACCCATGATTATTTACTTCACTAAACCACACAGAATTCTGTGTGTCTGTTAGTTAATATATCACCTTTGTACCTAAGTTTATCTATAAAAGAAAGCTCACTACTGAGAAATTTAAAAGCCAGTAGATCTGGTTTTTAAATTTCTATTAAAAATTATTATTCTATTCTATTAAAAATTATATTCTATTCTATTTTAAATTAACACCTATTTTTCCCACCGACACAATTATGAGCCCCTTGGTTTCAATATTGCCACTGACAAAGTATAGGACCATTCAAAACATAGCAGTGATTTTATATTCTTAGACACAATAACAGAGACAATTGTACTTTTAAAGTACAATTTTAAAGTACCTTTTAAAGGTAAGAAATGGTATATGATCACAGGGCAAGATTATTGAAGATGCTCTTCATAATATACAGTGACTATATGTTAAGTGAATGGAATCCATTTTTAACCAAAGCATTGAGAGAGATTACCTATCAGTTTTTGGCAGAAAAAAAATTTCCATTTATTAATACTGTGACAGCCTTTAATAAAGGAAACTTTTCCTTGCCTTTGACTGCACAGCCTGATGTTTTGATGTTGATTTTCTAATGTCCCCTGCCCCTCAGTGTTGACCTCAGCCTTTGCAGCTTTGGTGTCCACTCCATCAAAATGATTTTCCACAGTTATAACCCATTGCACCACATCATCACATTTTTTTGTACAGAACAGCAATTGCTACTTGAATGGAATAATGGTTATTTATGCCTTGCCAAATACTTTCCAGAGCTTGAGTCTGATCTGTTTTCTTACTCAACTGACCAGAGTTCTGTTGCACTTAGAAGCGTTGATGATCAAACCTGGGCCTCTGGGCCTCTGTGGACAGAACAATAAAGTCCATGAACTTGGATGGGGGTAAAATTACATCCTTATTTCATTAACCTCCAACTAAAAATACAGCATTTCCTTCTATTATTAATGTAGGCAACAAGTTACAATAGTCTTAGTTACAATAGTCTTGTGACTCTGGCATCAAAAGAAATTGCAGATACTTTTATATCACATTGATTTGGTGCAAATATCTTGAAATATTATTTGTGCTCTTCACTACTTCAAATTCAAAGCAGTTATCAAAACTACTGCCAGATCTTATTTCATTAACAAATACACATTACTATATCACAATTTAAAAGTATTTTTATATCTAGCATCTTTGGGGAAAAAAATAAAAATATTTTTATAACTGCTTTATTATAATTGATTTCCTTTGCAACCCTATATAGTGTATGCATTTTGAATCATTGAGAAAAGGTCTACAAACTTGACTACATTGTTGTTTACTCTTATCCAAGACACAAAGAAGGTTAAGAACTCCTGACTGGAATGTTCTGGTAAAGACTCTTTTGCTAAACTTGGTTAGCAAAAGAACTGAGTTAGTTCCCTTCCTCCATTATGCTCCAGCATAATGAAGCATTGTTCTAAACATTCTTAAAGTGCTTCAAACCTAGCTTTCACAACATATGAAAGGCAAAGGAAGATGTATCAGAGATGTTGTGCTGTCTCCTACGGAAGCTTCTCCCTGACTACTTGACCCTTAAGAGTTAGGGAAGGTTGTGGGGAGAAAGAAGAAATCTTTTTTTCTTTTTTTTTTTTTTTTTTTTTTNTTTTTGAGACAGAGTCTTGCTCTGTCACCCAAGTTGGAATGCAATGGTACGATCTTGGCTCACTGCAACCTTGGCCTTCCAGGTTCAAGTGATTCTCATGCCTCAGCCTCCTAAGTAGCTAGGATTACAGGTGTGCACCACCACATTCAGCTATTTTTTTCTATTTTTAGTAGAGATGGGGTTTCATTGTGCTGGCCAGGGTAGTCTTGAACTTCTGACCTCAGTGATCTGCCCACCTCAGCCTCCCAAAGTGCTAGGATTACTGGCATGAGCCACCGCACCCAGCTAGAAAAGAGAAATTCTTATGCTCTGTGGGTTGAGTATATAAATCACTGTTGCAATCACTTTGGACAATTAAGTGATAGTAAACATAAGGACAGATGCTATGGTTTGCACGTGCCCCCTTTAAAATTCAAATGTTGAAATTTAATGTCCTAGTATTGAGAGGTGGGGCCTTTAAGAGGTGATTAGGTTATAAGAGCTCCTCCTTGGGAATAAGACTAAGGCCCTTATAAAAGAGGCTTCACACAGCACTGGACCAGGCCCTTCCATTCTGCCAAGGAGGATATATGAAGAAAGCCTTCCCCAGACAACCGAACCTGCCTGTGTCTGCATCTTGGAGTTCCCATCCTCCAGAACTTTGAGAAATAAATTTCTTTTCTTCATAAGTAACTAATCTATGGTATTCTGTTACAGCAGCACAAAGTGAACTAAAACAACATATTTACACTAAGGCCCAGAAATTTTACTTCAGTTCACATACACAAATAGACATGTGCAAAAGATGCAGTGATTTCTATAAAGGCAAAAAACTAAATATCCAATTATCTGTCAACAAAGCAATGCATAAATTGTAGTATATTTACACAACAGAATGTCTTATAGCAGTTAAAAGGAACTAGGGAGCTACGTGGCTCAACATGGACAAATCTTGAAAATATAGCATAAAGATGCAATTTGTGGGAGGATTTGTTCAGGATGACAGCATTTATGTGCACATGAAAATACCAAATGATAGTATATATTCTTATGAGTACGCAAAGATATAGTAAAAGTTTGAAAACACAAACAGGAAGCATACAGATGGTGGTTACATCTGAGGAGAGGGTGGAAGTGTGGGTTTTGCGTTGGCATTGTTTTATTTCTTTTTTTCTCCTCTCTCTTTTTTTTGAGACAGAATCTTGCTGTATCACCCAGGCTGTAGTGCAGTGGTGTGGTTTCAGCTCACTGCAAACTCCGCCTCCTGGGTTTAAGTGATTCTTGTGCCTCGGCCTCCAAGTAGCTGTGACTACAGGCACGTGCCTCCATGTCTGGCTAATTTTTGTATTTTTAGTAGAAATGGGGTTTTGTCATGTTAGCCAGGCTGGTTTCAAACCCCTGGGCTCAAGCAGTCCACTCACCTTGGCTTCCCAAAGTGATGGGATTACAGGCATGAGCGATCATGCCTGGGATGTTTTATTTCTTTAAAAAAATCTGTAGTATTGCTTCACTTGACTAACCTTTAAAACAAATATGTAGCAAAGGTGGATTGTGTATATATGAGTACCAGTTATATTAGTTTTTGCACTTTTCTGTAAATTAGAAATATTTAACAAGAAAAAACTTTAAGAAATTTTACATAGCTTTTTCTTTCTCTTTTCGAAAGAGAGATGGGGTCTTGCTATATTGCCCAGGCTGGCCTTGAATGCCTGACCTCAAGTGATCCTCCCGGCTCAGTCTTCCAAAGTGCTGATATTACAGATGTGAGCCATTATGCCCAGCAAAAATTTTAAGACTTAAAAGTATGTACAATTGCCTGAACCATGTATGCTTTGGAATTTTTTTTATTTATTTTTTTTGAGATAGGGTCTTGCTCTGTCACCCAGGATGGAGTGCAGTAGCATCACCACGGCTCACTGAGGCCTCTACCCCCTGGACTCAAGTGATCCTCCCACTTTAGCCTTCTTACTAGCTATGACTTCAGGTGTGTGCCACCATGCCCAGCTAATTTATTAACTTTTTGTAGAGACAGCGTCTTGCTATGTTATCCAGGCTAGTTTCAAACTCCTGGCTTCAAGTGATCCTTCTGCCTTGGCCTCCTAAAGTGCTGGGATTATAGGCCTGAGCTACCATACCCAGCCTGTTTTCAAAGGGATTCAAAGTAGGCTTGCTTTTAAAAGCTAGAAGTAGGTTTTAGATAATGTGCTCAGTATGACACAGAAAAATTTTGAGGATAAGATCCTAACTGCTGAATGTTGTTACAATAATTAAACTAGTTTATTACAGTAACATTTACCAACTAATCTTTTTTTTTTTCCTTTTATTTTGTAAAGGTTACCTTTACAAAGTAGCATTTAAAAATAAATCCATCTCACAACTCAAAGACATTTCTGACAGTACTGCCCTGGTGCTGGTCAGCCATTATTCACTGCGTGTCTGCTACGTGTCGGCACGTATATAGGGCTCTTCTTTCCTGGGAACAAACCCTTAGCGCTTCTTCCAGGTAAACTTTCTGCAGGCTCCCTGTTGGCCTGGCTTCTTCCATTCTCTCACACATGGATCAGTAGTAAGCAGTCCAGCTTGTCTCATCCACTTAACCTCGTCCTCAGTGAGAAAGCTGCACAAAGCTTTTGCCATTGCCAATCGTACTGCTCCAGCCTATGCCGACCTCCCGCCCCTGAGACTCTGCAGGTCACATCATGTTTCCCAAGTTGGTCAACAAAGTGGAAAGGGAACATCAGCTGTTCTCTGTCCTGCATGATTGGGAAGTAATGCAGGTAATCAATTCCATTTACTTTTATTCTTCCACTCCCACGTTCATAAACAATTGCTTCTGCTTTTGCAGTCTTTGTTTTACCTTCGCTTTTGCTAAAGGCCATTCCTTGCTCCTCATACTGCGCAGGTTCAATCAGCTGTTTTTTTGATTGAATGATTACACTTCTTCGAAACCTCTGCACAAATTCTTCCTCAGCAGCACCGTACTGCAATGTCAATAACTTTTCTAGCAGGTGAATGAACTGCATATAATCTTGATCTGACAGTGTTTCCACTAACATTTCTTCCAGTTCCTCCTTAATCAGCCATCTGCTGCCAATCAGGTCTCTGGTTTTAGTTTCTTCTGGAAGCAGACCTCTGGCTTTGACGTTTTTCTAAATTGAGTAACATTCCATAAATGTCATGCATTAATGAATAGTACGACTGTTTGCCAGTGTAGAAGAGATAGTGAAATGGACAGCCATCTTCTCCCCACTGGATTGCTCTTTGTTTTGGAAAAATCAGTTCAGGATGCTTCATTATTGGCCTGGCTTCTTTCTCAAACAAACCACTTGGGAAAAGGTAAGCAATAGCTTTATCAATATCCTCTTGAGTGAAAGTTTCTGGATCTTCTCCCATCATGTTGGCTAAATGTCTCTTTCCTATGCTGAACTCTTCAATCTGCTTTTTAATAAAATCCACTGTGTAAGTTTCACGTTTTAAGGCGGCAACATTTTTCTTTCTTGTTACAACTGCAGTATGACTTAGCCCTGATATCTGGGATCTGACATTTGTTTGCAACTCAGCTGCCGCGGTCTTCCAGAGGACTTGCTTCTGGAGGAGGCTACCCCACCCCAGAGAAGCAGCCGGTAGGAAACTGCTCCGCGGGAGGACATACAGGGGGCCGCCATGTTAGCTGTGGGAGATCCAGGACCTAAGGGTTACCAACTAATCTATTAGTGTCTGAGAAAGAATGTCCCTGAGATTTAAATCAGTGTGTAGCCTCACCAGACCAATCTGATTCAATTTTTTCATGTAACAAAGTGGTGAGTTGTTTTTCAGTTGCCATGGACCTCAGGTCACATAAAACTGGGCATACCCACGTGAATCAAGCATGCAGCCACAGAAGGAACCTAAGTGCTTGAACTGAGGAGTGAGGACTTAATTATCATAAGAAGTGGACAGGATCAAGGATCTAATCAGATGAGCTCTAGGGTCATACCCTGTCAGGATCTGGTCAGACCATGCCTCCTGGAATCACTTCACTGCATAATCCAGTCAGATCACACCCCATTACCCATGCCTATAAAACCTGACCCAGCCTCCAGCTCAAGGAGACACTGTTGTGGGAATTATCCTGGAGTTCTCCTTACTTGTTACAAGTAATAAAATCCCCTTGCAAAATCCTCCTTGGTTGTGGACATTGGATTGATATTTGCCAAGTAACCATACACAACCGTTGTGTGGGAACAAGGGGTTACCATTTTGGCTGCTAGATTAGTCTGCTTTCACACTGCTGATAAAGACATAGCTGAGACTGGGAAGAAAAAGAGATTTAATTGGATTTACAGTTCCACATGGCTGGGGAGGCCTCTGCATCATGGCGGCAGCAGGAGAAAATGAGGAAGAAGCAAAAGTGGAAACCACTGATAAACCCATTAGATCTCATGGGACTTATTCATCATCAGGAGAACGGCATGAGAGAGACTGGCCCTCACGATTCATTCAATTACTTTCCCCTGGGTCCCTCCCGTTTGTGGGAATTCTAGGAGACACAATTCAAGTTGAGATTTGGGTGTAGACAGAGCCAAATCACATCAGCTGCATAGCTGTATCACTTGGCAAACTTAAAAAACAGCTATCATAGCCACAACATTTAAGATTGTGATTCAGTAGACTCTGCCCTGGGCATCCTTATTGCTAAAAAGCTCCTCAGGTCATTCTAATGTGCAGCTTGGGCTGGAATTTCTGGTTTATATGCATGACTTTGGAGACTGAAAACTCAACCCATCTTATAACTTTCAAAAAGCAAACCACTCACTTATGGCTTAGAGTTCAAGTAATGATCTATGAACGTGCCTCCCCCAGGACACCCCATCTCCAGTAGGCTTTAACATTTTTCTTCTAGTTTTAATAGGTAACATACAAACAAGGCTCAAAAAAGCTCTGTTATACAACCCCATCCAGCCCCATAGGCAGCCTTTTTAAATTAGTTTCTTATGTATCCTTCTGGTGTTCTCTTAAAACAAATATCAGCAAATAGGAATACACATTCTTATTTTTCTCCCTGTCCTTTAAAAAATGTAGCATACTACGTATCCTATTCTATGCCTTCCTTTTTTTTTTTTTTTTCCTCATTTAGCAATATAGTCACGAGATCTTTGCCTATTAGGACATAGAGAGCCTTTTCACTTCTTTTTAACATTTAAATAGGGCTGGGCACAGTGGCTCACACCTGTAATCCCAGCACTTTGGGAGGCCAAGGCAGGCGTATGACAAGGTCAGAAGTTTGAGACCAGGCTGACCAACATGGTGAAACTTCGTCTCTGCTAAAAATACAAAAATTTAGCAGGGAGTAGCGGTACGCGCCTGTAGTCCCAGCTACTCAGGAGGCTCAGCCAGGAGAATTGCTTGAACCCAGGAGGCGGAGGTTGCAGTGATGCACTCCAGCCTGGGAGACAGAACGAGACTCCGTCTCTAAAATATAAATAAAGAAATAAAATTTAAATAGTTGCAAAATAGTCCACTGTGTACAAAAACCAAGCTTTTTGTTTTTAGAACTATGCTCCATTTTAGGTTGCATAGAAAGCTAATAAAAGTCATTAACTCTGAGGGTAGGGTAGGCTGGGGATGATTAGACGGAGAAGGTACAACAGAACTCCTTTTATTGTAAGTAAACTGAAATGAGGGAGATCTTTGTGAGCATCTAGATGGTAGTGGTGATTATACAAATCTACATGTGAAAAATACCATAGATTAATACGGATTTCTCTAACCAACCAGGTTAAATGGTGATGACAGAGGGGCTTTGAATTAACGGACTATAGACAGTTTAACAAGAGTAGACACAAGGTTTATTTACACAGGCAGTTGTATTTTCAGAATGCTCAGTTTAAGTTTATATAATGTTTTTTCTCTGTGGCCTCTGATTGGATGTTTTCAGTTTAAGATTTTCATAATACTTTGTTGGGCTATTATTCATTCTGCTTTCTCAGAGCCTTGGCATAAACAGTATGCTCATCGATATTTAAATTTTTGTGCCAATCTGATAGGTGAAAAATTGTATCACAAGGCATTCTTTTTTTATTGTTTCATTCTGTCGCCCAGTCTGGAGTGCAGTGGCACCATGTTGGCTCACTGCAACCTCCGCCCAAGAATTGCTTGGATTCAAGCAATTCTCCTGATTCAGCCTCCTGAGTAGCTGGGATTACAGGCGCATGCCGCCAAGCCTGGCTTTTTTGTATTTTTAGTAGAGACAGGGTTTCACCACGCTGGCCAGGCTGGTCTCCAACTCCTAACCTTAGGTGATCTGCCCGCCTCCCAAAGTGCTGGGATTACAGGTGTGAGCCACCACCATGCTGGGCCAGGCATTCTTATATTTGTGGTTCTTTTCCTATGCATTTGAGCATGTTTTCATATGTCTATCAACCATTTGTATTTCTTTTTCTGCATACTGTTTATTCGTGTTCTTTGCCCATTTTTCTACTCAATTTCTTTTTCTGTTCCATTGATTTCCAGGAGCTTTATACAAATTAGGAAATTAGGTCTTTGATGACAGGAATCGCAACTTTAAAAAAAGCCTGTTTGTGGTTTGTCTTTTGACTTGGCTTATAGTTTGGGTGTTTTGCCATGCAAATACATTACTTAATAAAGTAATTAATTCAGTTTTGTGGCAGGCCTCACTTTGTCACCCATGCTGGAGTGCAGCTGACTGCAGGCTTGACCTCCTGGACTCAGGTGATCCTCCAACCTCAGCCTTCCAAGTAGCTGGGACTATTGGCGTACACCATTCCCAGCTAATTTTTGTTGCTGTTGTTGCAGAGACACGGTCTCACTATGTTGCCCAGGCTAGTCTCAAACTCCTAGATTCAGGCAATCCTCGTGTCTTGGCCCCACAAAGTGCAGGAAGTGTCAGCACGAGCCACTGTGCCTGGCCTAAAAGCCTTTTATTTTTATTAATTATTAATTTTTCTTCAGGATGATCTGGTTCACTTTTTTTTATTTTTATTTTTTTTTGAGACAGGGTCTTACTTTGTCGCCCAGGCATGAAGGCAGTGGCACAGTCTCTGCTCACTGCAACCTCAGCTTCCCAGGGTCAGGTAATCCTCCCACATCAGCCTTCCAGGTAGCTGGGACTGAGGCAGGAAATAGGGTCTGGAGGCAGGGAACCTAAGGACTTCCTAGAACTAAATTAAATGGAAAACCCCCAACATTTTAAAGCCAAGTAAATAAGTTTGTAACTCTATTTCAGCTATGGCAGGAAACATCATACACCAAGTAACGAATGGGAAACCTCTAGAATGTATTTTGAACCCCAGAAAATTCTGTAACTGGCCCTTGAGCTGCTTGCTTGGGCTGGCTCGCACCCTGTGGAGTGTGCTTTCATTTCCAACACATCTCTGCTTTTGTCCAACTCTTTGTTCAAAATGCCACAAGAAGTTGGACACCTAACACAGGTAACATATTTTGTTTAGTCAGCCAGGAGGTAAGCCCAAAGTTTGGGGATGATGTTTCACCTTTTCCTTTCGGCTCCATCCAGGGGAATCTATCTCTCTGTTTTCCTTTCCAACTCGGGACCCTTGAGGGGCAGCATCTAAACACGGAGGCAACTACAGGTTTCTGGCCAGGACTACTCTCTGGTGTTGCCTGAAGGCCAAGGAGTGAATGGGGATAGTTGCCCTGCCTGGAAGAGGTAAGGACTCTTTTCTATCATTTCCAGTTGTGGTCCCTGATTAAACCTTCTTTTCTTATGCTAAATTCTTCCCTTCTCCTATTTGACTGGCTAAGGACAAAAGAAACCCACACAGCCTCCAGTTTCTATCATTAGAATTCATGGCTATCACTCTAGTGGAATGGGAAGCATGGGAAAGTGTGGCCTTAACAAAGTATGAGAATGCTAAAAGTTGGGGATTACACCCAGGAACCAAAGGAAAGCTCATAGTAGGCCATTGGCTCTGGAGAGAAAACATGAAAAGTGAGATTGGTGCCCACCTGAGGTCAGAGACATCTGACCGTCTAAGACTGGACCCTAAAGGGGGATGCCCCAGGGGATCAAACTCCAGACTTCCACCTCTCAAAGGAGACACCTAGGCAGAGATTCTAAGGTCCAGTATAAGCCTTCCTTAGAATTTTCTCTCATAGATGATAATGGAAACTTTTGCAGTACTGTTTGGTCCCAATATTGTTTGGAATCTGAGTTTGCTGTTCAATGAGAAAGTGGGATGGTGTTGCATGTACCCAGGCTTTTGTGCTGCTGTTCCAAGCAGGGCACGTGGTTAACAAGTGGTGCTCTCCTTTGATGCTGTTTGACCCCAGTGTTCTTTGCAGTCTGGGGAGGTTTGGCCTTTCAAAACCAAACTGCCATGGAAACTGCTTTACCCAAAATTTTGGTTCACAGCCTTCATTGGATTATCTATTGGGGCATACAAAGTAAAACCAGTGAGCCTGTATTGCTAGCTCATGGCTAGAGTTCCAAGGTAAAAGCTACTGGAAGTGTGTGTGTGTGTGTGTGTGTGTGTGTGTGTGTGTGTGTGTGTATGTCTAGATGTGTTTATCTGTATGTACACTTACTATATGTTGTGCCACCAAATTAGCTTACAAATAAAAGAGTGCTCATAAATTAAGTTAATAAGTGTAAGCAATTTTCAAGTTCACATGACTTAAGTATTAACCAACTGGTTTAAAAACTATTGACAAAATAAAAATAGAAATGCCTTCAGAATTGTCAACACACACTTTTATCTGGATTTTATATTTGTCTCACTAGATATTCTGAGGTGTCAGGGTTTGGCATGGAAGGTTATAAAACTATAAACTCAGCCAAACAAAATCATCTTGGTTTGCTTGCCTTTTTTTTTTTTTTTTAAATAAATGAGAGTAATTTAATGTTGTTAGCCAAGTCTTTTGAGTTATCAGTAAAAATATCTATGTATTTGAGGCTCTTACTTAGGTTTAGGTGAGCACTGGATGTTCACTGGCTATTAAAAACAGTTATAGTGTCTAATGTCTCAGTTTACAGAAGTAATCTAGATGAACTGTTGAAAATGAAGGAATTGAGTACAGTAAATGGGATAAGTGTTTTAGGTAAACTTTTTTGTATAAACTAAAATCTTAAAGTTAATTTTGATGCTCCTTTACTATCTGGGTCATTTTCAATTAATAAAGAGTTGTGACATAGGGAAATACGTTTCAAACATTGTGCAATTCTCCTTATCTATAAATGCCCCTATCTGATAGTTCAGGATTTCATGCTTTTTAGGGTTTCACTAAAGTTTTAGGTTACTAAGGTTATCCTTAGGTTACTAAGGATAAGAATTCTAGCT